TGATTGATATTATCGTGAGGTATTGCTGTCTGCCCGCCGTGCTGCCGCTTTTCATATTCAATCATTTCGTCTTCAAATACATCGGCATTATACCCAAAATTCGCCGGCATAACACTATGCAGTGTTAAAATGTACATTAACACAACACACGTCGCTTGACCACATTTTCCCAAACTGCAACTCATCTTAAATTAGGTCAGTTTCGAGGCAAAGCTTCATCAGTTTTGATTCAAAGAGAATCATGGTCGAGGGGAGAAGCTTGGAGATGGGTGTGAAACTCATTAGAATAACAATATAACTCATTATCTACAGGGCGTGCCCAAAAAAACGAAAACTATTGAAATCACTTATTGTTAAATTTGAATACCCTACCAAACAGCTGGACGTAATGATGCGTAAAATATTGACAAGGTGCATGTATTAGAATTTAGTTAGGAATATCTCCTGGTAAAGTGCGCGATTTTCTGCTCCTGGGAATTAAAAACAGCTTCTTAAACAGTTTCTTTATGCAAAAAATTTACTTATGTCAATCATTTATGCACTCGTGGGAACCAACAGAGCGCAAAGGCATTTAACTTCTAACAATTAAATTGTTATTGCCGATTTCAATAGTTTTCTTGTTTTGGGGGACACCTGTATGTTAGTCGACGTTTATTCATATATCTGGTTCTTTCACCGTCACGTGTGCATTGTATTTCTGCCAAATCCACCAATAGCAATTTCCAGTTTCCCTATTATTCGAGTCACGGATAGCCAGTGACTTTCCTAAAACATTGCTATTGGTTAGTTATAGACGCCCCTCATGAAAAGCAGCCGTATAGCTGATGAGGATAGCGTCTCTAAAGAAATTAAATACATACATACATACACAAAAGTACAATACACACGTGACGGTGAAGGACCAGATTTATGAATAAACGTTGACCAACATAGATAATGATTTATATTATTATTCTAATGAGTTTCACAGCCATCTCCATTCTCCCCTTCGATAGGCTACGAGAGAACGAAATTTGAATTTCAAATTTTTCACAAGTCGCGTCGCTTAAAGTGCACCTGACCTCAGTTATATTTATCATCTCATTCTTAAGAACCTTTGAAATAATATAATGACTTATTTTGAAGATTTTCGTTTGCTCACTTTGTTTCTGAGATATTTCAGTTTGTAATTGGTATGCAAATATCCGGAATTTACGTCACAAATGCATAATAATTTAAAGTGAAAGCTTGTATATCGTATTCACTATCGAGTTTAATTCATTAAAATGAAGTTTGGACTTGTGGGAGGATTAAATATACTTATGCAGAACACCATTTAGCTTTTTTATTTCATCATATTTAACTGTACCTTACATTCTTTGATCAGTCATTATTCATATGCGACGTAAATTCCGGACATTTACACATCAATAAAACTGAAATAACTCAGAGACAAAGTGAGCAAACGAAAATCTTCAAAATAAGTCATTATATTATTTCAAAGGTTCTTAAGAATGGGAAGATAAAAATAATTGAGGTCAGGTGCACTTTAAAACTATAGACCAAACAGTATTGATAGTCTACAAACTTTCTTTACAATCGTTTATTTGAATGATTTTATTCTGGCCGTCGATCGACGTCGCGTTGCTGTCCTTCATCGTAGAGTCTCCGTTATAGAGACCTAACGATTATAGCCATAGGACAGCAACGCGACGACGACGGTCAAAACAAACTCCTTCAAATAAATGGTAGTCGATAGTTCGTCGTATATTATCAATTATATGAATTTAATACAGTCTTAGAAGTTGAAGACATGGGTTTTATGGTTGGGAAGAGTTCTGCTAAACCCAGTTTGAAGTTGCCCTTGTTGTGGCTTAATTGGAATGCAGCCGTTGTATCAACACGTGAAAATCTGTGATTTGGCGTTGTAAACAGAGCGAGGACAATGTCTAAATTATTCATTTATTGTAATTACTCAATTCTTCTCAATGATCTATTGTATTGGTAGCCGTTGCGGTTGCCGTCCTAAAATCGTAAGGTCTCTATTGATATAATGCAAAAAATGTGCACCTTAATTACGAGTATAACTATGATGTGTCCGACTATCAATGAGGAGTCCGACTGTCTACGGAAAAAAAATTGGCGGCGGCGCCACTGAGCTGCATAGCCTCGTCCGCAAGAATCGTCGAGAACTTATATAATTTAGTTATTCAAATAACTGATGTTTTTAATTGTCAAATTGAAATCAAGCATGAATGATAAATAACATGCACAGAACATGAAGCGAAAATACATTTCAAATTTAATCAACAAATCTATTAAGTACAAAATGTGCAATTCAAGCGTCACTGACAATTAAGTAAGACCATAAAAAATACATTTCAAATTTAATCAACAAATCTATTAAGTACAAAATGTGCAATTCAAGCGTCACTGACAAGTAAGATCCATAAAAAATACATTTCAAATTTAATCAACAAATCTATTCAGTATAAGTACAAAATGTGCAATTCAAGCGTCACTGACAAGTAATATCCATAATCTTCAGTTTCTCATCTTCAGACAGCAATAGCCATTGTCGTGACCAGATTTTAAACGAGCAATGCTTCACCACGTTGCAACTCTCTGAACCGGAACAGGATTTGGGCTGAACATCAACTTCAACACGATACAACGTCCCCTGCACGACTTGACTTGTGACTTGTAGCGAGTTCGAATCAAAGGTCAGGTCTTCGTTCAAAATCTCCGCTTCAGCTTTATTGATTCCATCAAGTAAATCTTGGTACTGATTGATATTATCGTGAGGTATTGCTGTCTGCCCGCCGTGCTGCCGCTTTTCATATTCAATCATTTCGTCTTCAAATACATCGGCATTATACCCAAAATTCGCCGGCATAACACTATGCAGTGTTAAAATGTACATTAACACAACACACATCGCTTGATCACATTTTCCCAAACTGCAACTCATCTTAAATTAGGTCAGTTTCGAGGCAAAGCTTCATCAGTTTTGATTCAAAGAGAATCATGGTCGAGGGGAGAAGCTTGGAGATGGGTGTGAAACTCATTAGAATAACAATATAACTCATTATCTACAGGGTGTCCCAAAAAAGAGGGTCCTGAAGACTATTGAAATCACTTGAATACCCTACCAAACAGCTGGACGTAATGATGCGTAAAATATTGACAAGGTATTAGAATTTAGTTAGGAATATCTCCTGGTAAAGTGCGCGATTTTCTGCTCCTGGGAATTAAAAACAGCTTCTTAAACAGTTTCTTTATGCAAAAAATTTACTTATGTCAATCATTTATGCACTCGTGGGAACCAACAGAGCGCAAAGGCATTTAACTTCTAACAATTAAATTGTTATTGCCGATTTCAATAGTTTTCTTGTTTTGGGGGACACCTGTATGTTAGTCGACGTTTATTCATATATCTGGTTCTTTCACCGTCACGTGTGCATTGTATTTCTGCCAAATCCACCAATAGCAATTTCCAGTTTCCCTACTATTCGAGTCACGGATAGGCGACTTTCCTAAAACATTGCTAACATTGCTGGTTAGTTATACACGCCCCTCATGAAAAGCAGCCGTATAGCTGATGAGGATAGCGTCTCTAAAGAAATTAAATACATACATACATACACAAAAATACAATACACACGTGACGGTGAAGGACCAGATTTATGAATAAACGTTGACCAACATAGATAATGATTTATATTATTATTCTAATGAGTTTCACAGCCATCTCCATTCTCCCCTTCGATAGGCTACGAGAGAACGAAATTTGAATTTCAAATTTTTCACAAGTCGCGTCGCTTAAAACTATAGACCAAACAGTATTAATAGTCTACAAACTTTCTTTACAATCGTTTATTTGAATGATTTTATTCTGGCCGTCGATAGACGTCGCGTTGCCGTCCTTCATCGTAGAGTCTCCGTTATAGAGACCTGACGATTATAGGACAGCAACGCGACGACGACGGCCAAAACAAACTCCTTCAAATAAATGGTAGTAAAGATAATTCGTGCTATATTATCAATCGTATGAATTTAATACAGTCTTAGAAGTTGAAGACATGGGTTTTATGTTTGAAGTTGCATTTGTTGTGGCTTGAAATGCAGCCATTGTATCAAGACGTGAAAAATATGTGATTTAGCGTTGTAAACAGAGCGAGGACAATGTCTAAATTATTCATATATTGTAGTTATTCAATTCTTTTCAATGATTTATTGTATTGGTAGCAGTTGCCGTCCTAAATCATAAGGTCTCTAATGTCACAAATACGAAAACGAGGCTCTAAAGACTACAACTTAATTCCTATTTCTTTTTCTCTTCAAGGTGTATTTATAATGATTGGTTTTATAATGACAAAACGAGTATTAAACATGTACTTGAAGAAGGCAGGCAGAAAGCCACTCAGCACAACAGCTACAGGATCAACACAGAAATCTACCTTATCACGCTCTGAAGTTACCCGAAAGACAAGCTCGGCTCCGTTAGTAGATCGGAAACCTCTCGAGAAACGCCGCGACTCGCCGGAACAAGCCGTAAAAGTAGTGAACGATGAAGATTCGCCAGAGGCTGAGCTCATTTCTTCTATGGAAGGGCCCGAGACTAAACTGTGAGATCTCAAGGTTAATAAGATAACTCAAGCATCTAGTCAAGTGCTTTGATTTTTAACTTTCTTTTAACGATGCATTGTAATGACAATGCGAGTTTTACTACTGCACAGTTAATAGACTACTGTATAAGTGAGGCAGTAGTAAAACATAGGGTGTAGTCATAAGTCTTACAAAAGGACAGTTATACGGGATGATATATTTAACATAATTTGCTTGTTCTCATAAGTATCAAAATATTTAAAATTGTCCATGTATGTAGCACCATATAAAATGCTTACCGAAATACCGGCTGTGGATCGATTTACATTACGAAAACTAAATCCGGTTCCCTTGCTTGAACTAACCACGAATTTAATTCCTATGCTTTGAAAAGGGCTCAAAACTAACCCGCGACCAGCCAAGGTTAGTTTTCGTAGTGTATAAATCGTGCTGTTGTAAATTATGCAAACAGTTACAATGAAATTCAGGAACAAGGATGAAACATAAATCTGTACATGAAAAATATTCTTGTAATGAGCTAGTTTAATTGTAGTCACGCTTATAGCATTTACATGCATCTGTAAATAAGATTCTAGTATGGTCTAATTTTTCATCGTAAAATTAAACCACTTTTAAATCTGTCAGGTTGTTTTGACTTTGAGCAGAATGGCTCAGTTACGGCTTACGAAATGATAGTTCTAATGCGAGACAGTGGTCATATGGCTTCAGCAATTAGCGGCAAAAACACAAATATATCACACTTTTAAATGCCATGCTCAGTTTAACGATTAGCAGAACTCGTTGACTTGCGCAACTGCGCAACCTAAGTTATTTATTTGATAGTCAACAGTTCTAAATATTAATTCTTTCTAGGAGTACAATACGAGCTACCCCTTAATATATATATTGTCAGCAGTATGGGGAGAACACCTGTGAGGTTTGGTGGAGTCAAACTGGGAGTTTCCTACCTCATGCGACTGAGGCAAAATTATGATCATACCGCAACTGCATATATTGGATATACCTGAATTAATGACGCCAAATATGCATATATAATAATGGTTAACTATGAGATCTGACCAAGACCCCACCATGCAGGGCTTCGATTATGTAAGACAAAGATTATAATAGAGAACTGTTTGGGCTTTCTTGAGTTGCTTAAAGCGTGATAAATAGTATTATTGTATTGGTGTTTGCACAACGTGCTGAAGGCGGTACCAATCCAACACAGAACAATACCATAAGAAAATAATCATGACAATGCCATTAAATAGAGGGGCAGTTCAATTGTTTTGTGCGGCTTGAGAAAAAAACCACATCATAAAAATTAAAAATAAAAAAACAGAAATATTTGCTGTAACCGGATTGGTTGAGAATTACACGGAACGGTTGCGAGTTTCCGGAAACTGGCGGTCGTGCGATTTTGTAAGCCAATCAAAAATAAGTACGTTCTTTCTCAAGTTGAAGCGGAAGCACTCTTTTTCGACCACCCCCTTTCGCATCAGATTACGACACAATTTTTCTAATATAAATATCTCGGCGAGTATTTACCCCCCTTGTAAATAAAAGCCATCATTGAAATCCTCATAAAATAACCTTTCGAACGGGGGGTCAAGTGCCGTCAGAGCATTACACAAACCGAAACAATCATATATTTACTCACCGCTTGGCCAAAGATTCTAGATTTCATATCTACAAGATCTTGAATATCTCTTGAACTTTTCGTCATTTTCTGAACGGCTATATGTGTAAAATACTCTTTGTATCCAAGCGCTTTTGTGTAGAAAGTTTCGTATGTATACGCCGACTAGAAATATTTATTTTGAATTTTTCAAGATATCGGGTTTTACTCGCACTTGCGAACATTGCGCAATAATTGGCCAATAAGAAGCTCCTGTTGGCCGGTATGACGTCAAACTCACGCGTGTAGGTGCAATTTGACCTTGCGAATCCATTTCTGGCCTTTCCAGGGTCATACGATACAAACGTCCCATTGTTTTGACGTTTTCAGACGTATTTCCGGTTGGGATTAACTCACTTCGAGCTCACAGTCGGACAAGAAATGGAAATATATTGATAAAAGATACATATTTGAAGATACAGGCTTGCAAATAACACTCTAAATAGTGTTTTTGATGGGGATTCGAACAAGACTATTACAAAGACGATATGTGCGAAGGGGCCGAAGTTATTTTCAGCGAAAGGTATGGCTAGTCTATATTTTGTTCAGACAATTGCGTAATTTGAGACAATATTATCGTGTTTGACTTTCAAAGGCCCATAAATCGTTACAATGTTAATAATGACTATAACTATCGTTTGGAACTAGTCTATCTTTTATTTCTGAATCGATTGGTGGTATTTCTGTCTTCATAGCATGCACTGAACCGAAGGTATGAAATTTATAGCCGTCGATCGCTCAGGATCGACGCGATATGGCCTGTGGCGAGAAGGGTTTAAGCTATGTCACACCACGCTCATCCCAGACTTTTGTTGATACGCGACATTTTCACGAAAATCGCTGTTTAGAGCCGAATATCTCGTGAATGAAAAGAGAAAAAAAAACGAAAAATGTGAAAGAACCCATTAACTAATTTTTTGTCCTCTACTCAAAAATAAAAAAAGAAATTTGTGACATAAGCACTTTAATATTTGAAATTAACTGTATAGCTATGCAGACGCAACCAGTGCACTAATCATGTCTTAACGATCGTCAAAATTGGTTTAAACTTTGTATCAATTAATCTGTAGTGTTGTAATAATTTGTAACCGCTTTCCATGATAACAGCCATGTAAAATATTTTCTCTTCTTAATAGATTTTCAGTGCAAACACAGATA